CTGATGTGGGTGCTCTCACCCCTTCTTTCCTCCAGTTCTCTGAGGCAGGCCCGATTGCTGTTTGGGTTTCTAGCCCAAATCAGGCAGACTTGGACAAGCAGGAAGGCAGAAGCGCACACAAGCCCTGGTGCGGTCCCACACCTCAGCCAGATGCTGCAGACAGCCTCTTTTCCTTCCAGGCAATGCAGACATTCATGCTAAGAATAGAAGCCTAAGCACTTACCCTGCTGGTGAAGGATCAAAGTCCCATTAAGGAAGCGATCACTGTAAGATGATCAGTGAGGGAAGAYGTGCCTGACCCCTCGGCACCAGCTGGGCCCTTCCAAACAGCATTTCTGTGACTCGTTCTGTTCTGCTTCCCAGCAGGTACACAGGTACCACTGAATCACAAGATGGTTGAGGTTGGAAGGGACCTCTAGAGATCATCTAGTCCATACGACTGCTCCAGCAGGGGCACCTAAAGACACCTGGCTAGGGTAGGCAGAAATACACTTGGGAGAACATTTTGTGGAAATAACAGGGCACTTTGATATCTCAGCAGTGGAAAAGAACTGGGAGACTTTCAGAAGGGCCTGGATTTGTGGAGGGASAGGCAAGATCCTCCCTACAATCAGTGGTTATTAGCCTTAAAGCACAAGGACCCCTTCCTGCTTGGTCACAGGAGCAAAACTTTTTTGCACATGGTTAGTGCTAGCAAGGTCTTTTGTGTGTGCCCTAGCCAAAAAACCAAACTGCTGCCGATGAGAATTGGGTCTTATTTAAGCAGCTGTGGAGATAAGACTACGGTGGAGGACTGGGAGTTAATGAAGAAACAATCTGGATCAAGGAGTGACAGGCAATCACAGCCAGATCTGGTACAGTGCAGTGCAAASACTGGACAGGAGGGGCAAGTGCATCCAGCACCGAAATGACACCAAAGCACCCTCGGACTTCATATCAAAGGGCTGGTCTTGGGTGTTGGCTGCTCCYCGGTGTCCAACACCAGCACTGCCTGAAAGCATCGAGTTCACACGAACAATGGTGTGGCAGAGGTGGCATCAAAGTGTGTGACTGACCCTGCAATTTTGCAGCTCCAYTGCAGCAAGTTTGTAGCCACACAGTCATGGTGCTCCCGGGAAGCACATTGCCTCGGGTGGCAGTTCCTCCTGGAGACACTGGTCTGACCAACTGCTCTGGCCAGATAATCCATCTTTTCCTTTGGACCAGCTGTTCACAAGCCATCAACCCATTTTCCAGATGAGGAAAGAAACCCAAACCAAGTCATCCTGAGGAGCATATAGCTTTGCTTGTAGAGTGGCCAGCCCCTTGTGCTGCCTTTGTGAGGAGCCTGCGGAGCTGCTGCTCGTGGCTGACACCCCTGCATCAAAGCAGTCACGGGGTGACTTCGGGGGGCTCAGAGGAGGTGCCCACTGTTTCTCTGTAGCAGGCCAGCGTGCAGCAATCCTGTTGTCACCTGCAACTACAAGTTCCTGACCTTGGATGGGCTGCACATCTGTAGGGAGAAGCATTTGTGGGGGGGGATAAATCATTTCTTGGGACTGTTTTTCTTTTCTGCTACCAACTTCAGTTCTTTGGATTGAATTAGGCAGCATTTGAATAAAGCCTTAACATCTTCCACAASATCAGCTTCTGTCTGGAACAACTGCTGCTAAAATGATCACCAGGGTCCTTTCCAAGCAGTGTTTTCAAGTCTAAGACACACGCGTCTCCTAAGAATCCTCCCCAGTAAGCTCAGTAACTAGCACTGAACCACACTTCACAGACAAGTCTTAGGTGCTCTCCCCGAGCACAGGAGCATTACACCAGCAGGTTAACAAAGTTACAAACTGCTCACTAGCTTGCTCTGAGGATACAGTTCGCTAAATAGTATCACAGGAGATCTGCTGTTTAGCCATTTTTTAAAGAAATTAAGAATTACCTTAACATATTATTTTAATCCTAACTTTCTAGGTGAAACAAATTTTCTAATTGCCCATTACCAGTGGAATGACACACATAAATATCAGCTCCTGAAAAATCAGATCCGGTTATTTTTTGACAGGCCTGTTCTTATTATTTCCAGTTCAAAATATTTGATTTTATTGCTTCTGGATTTTGTGCTCATTTTAAAGGGGAGCAATTTGCTTACCTGCTGTTTCCGTGTTTCACACGCGGCCTGGTAGCAGCCGGCCGGCCCGCGTCCGGCCTCTCGACCTCCGTAAGCGTCGGCACGGAACGGCCTCCTTCCCGCCGTCCACCTCCACGTGTTCCCACAGGGCACAGCCGCCACGCAGCGGAGCGCAGACACGTGCAGCCGGATTTCAGAGCTGCAGACACCACTTACAGAGCCTGCTGATCAGAACGTGGTCACCCCATTTAAAATCCTGCCTGCTGCCTGTCCGGGCAGCGCATCATCCCGTCTGATGCCAGTACCAACACACAACAAATATTTACAGAGCACTTCCCTCTCCTCTCAGTGCAAACAGTCCTGCTATCTGCTATGTGCTATTTTCAATTACATCAAAAAACAAAAGGCTTAAAAATAAACATCTACTTGTGTTTCTACCCTTGCCACTTACAGGCTTTGTTCCCAGTGGTTTCCTTCTTTTTTTTTTCCCTAGCTTTATTGATTTTATCACCCCCTTGGTGATTATGGTTGCTGCCTTTATTCCTTCTTCTCCAAAATAATTTTTAAGGGTCCTTTCTCTCATTTGTATTTATAAATCATTCAGAAAAAAATCTTGGGTTTCAGTTACATTTTGGACTAATTTCCTCTTCCTTTGAGCACTCCCTCAGCTTCATTAAATATCCTGCAGGATATTTGCAGCTGATCAGAAACGCCTTCATAAAGCAGCAGCAAGCCACCATGACAAGTGTGCTGATAAGCACCATTTTCTACCTAGTATTCCCATTGTTTTTCAGACACCAGGACAAAATGCAACCTGGGTGTTTCTCACATCTTTCATGTTAAAAGCCATAGAAATGATCCATCCATTTCCATCATTATAATCAACCAAAAAGYCTAGCAAGAACTAGGGACTGTAAAACAACAGATGAAAACATGCTCTGTTTCCCAAAAATACAAGGTGAACATTGTATTGCAAAGGCCTGGACTTTGGAAAGAGTTTTAGAGTTTTAGCCTGGAAATAGTTACTACTTGCCCCTGCACCCCACATACACACAGTGTTCCACGGTGACTGGAAGGGCACAGGACACCTATGGGGCACCATYATCTCCAACACCTCTCCAGCTCACCCCTTCGGAAGAGCTTGGTGCTCCAATGACCATTATATCCCAGTGTCCCATCCCATCAAAACCAAACCATTTGAGCCAATGTTTGCACCTCCAAAGACAATTTAAGCTGAGACTACATCCTGCCTTTGCTCTGTCAAGTTTAACACTCACTTGATGATCTGGATAAACCCCATCAGGAAAACTAGCTCTGCTTCTGCCACCCCCTTTCCCACCCATGCAACGAAGGCCCAGTCCCTTGTGCCACCCAGACCACCTTGGCCAGACCCACAGCCAACGTCCTTCCCTTCTGTTGAAGGAGGGAATCACAGAATCACAGAATATTCARGGTTGGAAGGGACCTCTAGAGATCATCTAGTCCAACCTTCCTGCTCAAGCAGGCACACCTACAGCATGTGGCMCAGGGTGGCATCCAGGCGGGTTTTGAAGACCTCCAGAGAAGGAGACTCCACAACCTCCCTGGGAAGCCTGTTCCACTGCTCTGTCACCTCACAGTAAAGAAGTTGCTCCTCACCTGGAGATGGAACTGCCTGTGCTGCAGCTTGTGGCCATTACCCTCGTCCTATCGCTGGCCACCAGTGAGAACAGCCTGTCCCCTTCCTCCCTGCATTCTCCCTTCCTGACCTTATACATGTTAATCAGATCCCCTCTGAGCCKTCTCTTCTCCAGAGAAAACAGGCCCAGCTCACTCAGCCTCTCTTCATACGAGAGATGTTCCATTCCCTTAATCATCCTGGTGGGGATGTGGGGCTGTGCATCCAGACTCTGGCAGTAGTACCACAGAGCATGGGCTCAGCAGCCTGAGTTAGAGCTTATTACTGATATTTTCTGTTCAAAAT